GACTAACAGATAAACTATGGATTTTCAGACTTGAGTATCTAGCATTTTCTTGAAAAGAAATAAAGGAAGCCCGTCACTTCAAGGACAATAATTGGCAACATCTGTTGCCAGTGATAAAATCCAAGCTTTCAAGCCCCAGATCCGTCACTTATCAGCAAGTTATTTATTTACTTATTTTTAAAGATTTCTTTAAAAAAAGACTTTATTTATTTGACAGAGGGAGAGACAGCAAGAGAGGGAACACAATGCAGGGGGAGAGGGAGAAGCAGGTTTCCAGCCGAGCAGGGAGCCCAATGTGGGGTTCATCCCAGGACCCTGAGATCATGACCTGAGCCCAAGGCAGATGCTTAATGACTGAGCCACCCAGGTGCCACCTAGAAAATTATTTAACTCTCTAACATCTTACCTGAAAAGTCAGGCTGGGGATGGTACCTTCCCCATAGGGTGGGATCAAGCATTAAATAAGATAACATTATACAGTGTCTAGTGTGTGTCCAGTGCTCAGTGGATGTTGGCTTCTAACACCGCTACCTCAAATTAAAACAAACAGCTTTGCCTTTCGTTTTTTATTTAACCAAATATGTGCATCGATGTCATGAAAAATTTTAATCTGGGCCCCAAGTTAATATTCCCTAAATATTAGGTTAATTCATAGTTCTTTGACAAAAGAGCAACAATGAAATGACATTAGGGCTATAGTGAAATAACGGCAGGCATTAAAATATTGAGTTTTAGGGGCGCCTGGGTGGTTCAGTCAGTTAAATGTCTGCCTTGGGCTCAGGTCATGATCCTGGGGGCCTGGTGTTGAGCCACAAATCAGGCTCCCTGTTCGGCAGGAAGTCTGCTTCTCCCTCTCCTCTGCTGCTTCCCCTGCTTGTGCTCTCTCTCTTCCTCTCTCAAATAAATAAAATCTTTAAAAAAATATTGAGTTTTTAAGTAAGAATTCTCATTTCTACAGTTTTCCCTAAGTAAATAAATAGGACTAGTTTACACTGGGTTAAAAATACACAGAATAACACAAGATATTGTATAACACAAAATGATTATAAAAAATATATAATCCCAAAGTTTACCACTTAGAAGTTGTTTATCAGTACTTCTGCTAAGGTACACAAAGCCATCTGTGGCCCTGACATCCTGAATGCTATAGGCCCAGAATGATGTCTTGACCACAACGCCATTAGTATCACACCTCACCTGCAAGGTCAGATGATTTTTTAAATTGAAGCCAAAGCTTTGGAAAGGAATTAATGGAAATTCAGGTTATGTCACACTTTGGGCACAGGCAGGCTACAAAAAGCACAGAAGAGAAAAAGAAGCCAAAATAGATTGGATAAGAGCAAGATAATGATCAAGAGATTAAAAAAATAGAGAGAGAGAGAAAGAAATGTACCAGAAGAGGTTGTGAAAACTGTCGGAGCCTGTTAGTGGGACATAATGAGGTCCTTTAAAGGACATTTTTACACAATCCAAATACTTTTCCATTTTCAGCCATGACTGAGCCCCAGTCTTGTACAGCAGCACAGTTCTTACGTCTTCTGTGTGAACTATCAAAGTCCAGAGAACCTTTTTCAATCCTTTTGATCACTGGCCTGATCCCATGAGATCTCACACCTGTCCTGTGGAAAGTATTTCTCTAGAAAGAGTGACAGAGCTGCCTTCTTCATGAACAAAGAGGTAATATTCACACCACTTTTAAAGGGCTAACTAGATCAGTCTTTGCCTCCTTTCCTTTTGGCCCAGACAGTACACCTTCCCTGAACAAGTTTTTCACTCAGACGGTAGTCAGTGCTATTAACTGTGACTCAAACTACTTTGCAAATGAGCAAGAAATGCACCAGCTTTGGGGAGAATGGTAAGCTGGTGTTGTTGCTCTCAGGGAGAGGGGAGCAGCTACAATGAAGTCAGGAGTGTCTGATTAGGCTCATAATTAACCTGAGAACTGCCCTGCCAGCAACGGCTACGAACAGCATCAACCTGCCTGTCAGTTCCAGTCCAAGAATTCCAATTGCTACTTTGGTTGTTATGGAAACTGACCACACTGCCTCCTAAAGAATTCATTACGCCAACAAATACTTGTTTCCTAAGTCATTATGGGGTATTTAAATGAGCAATGGAAGAGCACACAGGCAGAAGGCTGGCCACTAGAGAAGACGTCACAGGGAGCTAGAACCTAAACCTGACCTTGGGGTATCGGCAGCGAGGGGAGGAAACATTTCAAGCGCGGGACTGGCAAAAGCAAGGGAAGTTCAAGAGATAAAGATAAGGCAGGTGTGGTTGGAGCCACAGACTCATGGGGGTTGGAGTGGGAAATGGGAAGGCACCTAGAGGCCAATGGGGAGAAGGCTTTGAAGGTCTCTAAAGCAGGGGGACAGTGCTTTAGGAATATTGATTTTTATCTTCAGACTAACAGCGAGGATGGCAACCTAGTTTCTGGCTAATACTAAAATGCCATGTGTCTTGGTAGATGTCCAGACAGTAGTTTGAAATGTTAAAAGTTCAACTATCTTCTCATATAGGCAACACCACACCTGTTGCACTGAAATCGATGGACTCTTGTATATTAGGGCTCATCAAAACTGCTATGGGTGTGTCTATGACATCCTGAGTATTTTTACGAGCTTCCAATTGACCTGAAATACAGTCCCCAAATACACGCTGCCATCTGTCAAGGCAATATATAGCACAAAGGCCTTAATTTTCAAGGAGAGTCCAACAAATACAACAACAATCATTTTTCCTCATATCACAGTGGGTTTGTACCTTTTCCTGCCCAAATAGTAGGCGGAAATCTTTACAAGAATAATAGCTGGCCAGTAAGTTAAAATACAGGAGAGTTTGGTTAATATAAGAAAAACCTTTATTCAGAACAACAGTTCTTGGAGTGTAGTCTGTGGACCCCTGGGGGGTCTCAAGCGGTGTCTGATGTCAAAGATTTTATATTGTGCTGTTTGACTCTGTGAAGGGCACAGGTCTTAGTAACAGGTGAGCCAAGGACTTTAGTTACATGTGGACAAATAGAAGTGATGCTTGAAAATACATTTCAGAATTTAATCGTGAGTGCTAAACTGGGTAAATCTGAAATGATATTATTGCTAGAGAAAATAATAACCACAAAATATGCTGTACTATTTTTAGAAGCTTTGTTTTGGACCACATAATTAAAAACACATATCTCGATAGGATAATAAAAGCTCATTCCTTAGATACTGAATGTCAGGTTTAAAGAGTGTCTCCTTTTCCTAATTTGGCCCCTGAGATAAAAGCTGAACAGAATGTGTAAGTCATTGTGTGTGGCCTTGATGCCAAGAAGAATGATAAAATTTTATGTGGAAAGGGGAATTTTCTTTGCTGTTTCTCCTCAGTTAAGGAGTAGAAATAATGTACTTTTACTTTCTGAAAAGAATATAAAAAGTGTGGCAAGAGTTCCTCCAGTTTCCATGGGTAAGGTCAATGAGAGGCAAGCAGGTCAGGGGATAGTACCCAGGTTGGGCTCCAGAACTCTCACTGTTCAAGACACGCCATTCTCTTTGGCTGGAATTCTTCCTCCTCTCACCTCTGTGAATCCCTCCCGTTGCTCCAACTCCTCCTTTAGGTTCCTGCCTATACGTCACCTCTGTGGGGAAACATTTGCCTGATCACTCTGATTACCCACATCTACCCCAGATACTCAACCAAGGCTGTTCTACTTCAGCTCTTTGTTTCCTTCCTATGTGGTAATAATTTCATGAGTTCTCTTTTCCATCTAGAAAGGAAACTCTGTGATTCCTGCTCATTGCCCAGCGCAGGTCCAATACTCAGTAAGTATGGGGTGGGTGACTCAATGTAGGAGACAGTCTAGGGAAATGACCCAACAACTGAGTGATGGAGTGGGGAGAGGTCTGGAATGGGAGGCTACAGCCCTGGTCTCCCCTCTGTCACCAGTTGTGGAAATGACCTTGATCAAACCTCTTAAGATCTCTGGGACTCAGTTTCTTCATCTAACAAGGAGGGAAATTTAGTGAGAGATTTCCAAGGCAACATCCCGACTTTAGAGTGCAAGATTCTAAGTTCATCCAATTTTATTTCTTGGGTGCTGATAACCATTCTTTTTCCCACTCACTGAGGAGGTGTGGACCTTTTCATTATTTCTGAATATGAATAGACATTTTTTGAAAAGTGCAAAGGTAGGTGTATTAACTTTTCTACAGACTTGAATCATTAGAGGGAAAAGTACCAAGTTTTGGGAAGTGCTCTGACAATAGTTTGTGCTTTTCTGTGTAATTGTAACTGTTGCTCAAATAGCCCCATTGATTTCCATGGGGAAAAATGGACATCCGGCTCTCACGCCCATTAGCTATGTGACCTCGGACTGGCTCCTTTACCTTCTTGAGTCTCAGTTTCCTTACCTGTGTTAACAGATATGTCATAGAGATAAACCACCAACCTATAGGACTGCAGAAAGATTAAATGAGATAAACTGGAACACAGTAGGTGCTTAGAAAAAGCAGGTGAACCCCAAGTGAATTTTGTCCCACCATTTAACTTACCAGAGGCTTCCATTGTACGAGGCAAAAGATAAGTGAGATTGTTTTTACCATTATCTAAAAGGAATGCAGGGTATGGTTACTGAAATATGTTTGAATGTGCGATTGCTGATATTTTTAGCAGTGAGGTTTGGGGAGCATTGGCTCATTGTTCAAACAGAAAAGGTGTGTGTTATATTTTGATGTAGGACATCTTCATACCCATGGGATTATAATGTATTTTATTACTGTAGGGCTAAACTCAGGAGTCTGACATTCCTTTGAGTCCTACTTTGTCTACTCTATAAAGATACAAAGCCAAAAACAATATAAAACTGCATAAACGAAAGCAACAACCCAGAAGCCTCAGGGATATTATCCTAACCAAAAAAGGAGCAAGATTTCAAAGCACAGTGAGAAAAGAACAGTCTTTTTTCTCTACCAAGTTGTGTATTAGTAGCAGTTGCATTAGAAAACTTGAGGGCAGTTACTCACCAATCATGAAAATAATTTTACGCTTTCTCAAATCTTCCATGAAACCTTTAAAGTAAGAATAATTTAAGTTATTGGCAAGGAAAACTGTTTTGAAACCCTGGTATTACTCATGTTGTGTAAAAACCAAACTCTTATAGATTTATTTGGTAAGAAGCCCAAGTTGAGTAAATGTGTTAATAGGTCATAGTTAATAGGCACCAGTGACCATTTCAGCCTTATTCCCAGACCCAGGTAACCTATTTCATTTTAACGTAAACTATCAATTTTAGGTGGCAAAACTGATAGGCCATTAAATAGCATGAATTACAAAGAAACATAATTTTTAAAATTATTTAAAATATTCTTAAGTATCTCAGTTTTACATTATTTTATATTCTTAATATTTGCTGATCTCTTTTAATAAAGAAGGGTTAAAGCACAAATGGGCATCTGGAAGACAATATTTAAACTATAGTTCCTATTTACAGAAAATAATTCTATTTTTCATTTAAGGTAGTGATATACAATTCCTTCTAAAATAAGCATATTTAAATAATAACTGTGAGCCAATCTAGAGGAAAATATTAAGTGAATAATACCTAGTATAGGTCATATACATATAGAGATGAAGCAAAAATCACAAAGATGATGAGAGTGAGGACTGAGTTTTGGGAACCACTACTTTATTTTTTTCAAGTCTTTATTTAAATTCTAGTTAGATAACATACGGTGGAATACTCATTTCAAGTGTAGAAATTAGTGATTCATCACTTTCATACAACATCCAGTGCTCATTACAGCAAGTGCCCTCCTTAATCCCCATCCCCCATTTCACCCATCCCCCACCCACTTCCCCTCTGTAGCTGTCAGTTTGTTGTGTACAGTCAAGAGTCTCTTTTTTGGCTTGCCTCTCTATTTTATCCTCCCTACGTTTGTTTGTTCTGCTTTTTAAATTTTTAAAAAATTAAAAAAAATTTTTAAAAATTATTATTTTTTTAAATTCCACATGTGAGTGAAGTCATATTTCACTTAGCATTACACTCTCTAGCTCCATCTATGTCATTGCAAATGGCAAGATTTCATTCTTTTTATGGCTGAGTCATATCCCATTATACGTATATATATATTTACCCCCCATTCAATCATCAGTCACTGGACATTTGGGTTCTTTCCATAATTTGGCTGTTGTTGATCATGCTGCTAGAAACATCAGGGCACATGTACAACTTTTTGAATATATATTTTTGTATTCTTTGGGAAAATATCTACTATGCAATTGCTGGATCATCGGGTAGTTCTATTTTTAACTTTTTGAGGAAGCTCCATGCTGTTTTTCCAGAGTGGCTGCACCAGTTTCCATTCCCACCAACAGTGTAAGAGGGGACTACTGCTTCAAAGCAGGGGATGGTTAGGAATTTTTGGCAAAGTGCAATATCCACCAGAGTGTGTAGATCCCTAAAAGATTTTCAGCTGTCATGTGGTGTAGTAGATGGCCATGAAGGATGGGTAGGTAATAGCTGTACTTTTGCTTTGGTTCTCAGCTGACCAGCCTTAGTCTAGTGACTTCCTCTCCTTGGACTTCAGTTTCTCCATTCATAAAGTAAAGGTGTTGTAAGTCAAGTAGTGATCGCTAACGTCTCTTTCAGTTCAAATACCTATGATTTTGTGGTTCCCGTAAATGAATGGACCACAGCAGGAAAAGGTCCCATTTCTCTCCTGGCCAAATTTATGATGCAAATTTATTGTTTCGTTTTTAAAAGAGATCTTTTTTTTTTTTGAGATGGGGGAGGGGCAGAGGGAGAGAGAGAACCTCAAGCAGGCTCCATATCCAGTGCAGAGCCCAGCACCGGGCTCCTTCTCACGACCCTGACATCATGACCTGGGCCAAATCAAGAGTTGGACGTTTAACTGACTGAGATACCTAAAGTAAACCCAAATTCTAAGAGACCTTGGGTAAGAGTGAGGTTACTTGAAAACTTGAATGGGGAATGGCTCTGTGAAACAGTCAATTGTTTGAGCTTGGAGGCAGGGGATCCTCAAACCTCAAAAAAAAAAAAAAAAAAAAAGTTTAGTGAGCACTTGAACTCTCCCCGGCTTTAAGGCCGCGGGCTTTAGGTATGGTGATCGGGCTGCCTACTCAGCTGTGCCAGGACAGGGTCAGAGACTTTGGGGGCAGGCCAACAGCACAGAAGAAGGAGGTTAGTTCAAGACGCACTGAAGTTCATAGAGGGAGTCTACACAAGCCACTAAGGGAAGTGCGGCTCCAACCTAGAGGCCATCGTGAGTGAATGATGGTGAAAAGCCAAAGGGCAGGCTCTAGTGGACTCAGAGGATGTCACCGCGTTCAAGTCGATCCTGGGACTGGCTCATGTCTGAGCTGCTTAATTTCATACCCTCAGGGGTGGGATTAGGGGGTGGCCGGCCAATTTCACAAAGAACTTGAGAAGACTTTCTTTGATGTGCTTAGGCGAAGGCCGGGCAAAGATTCTAAAGGGGAGGTGGGTGGGCGTGGAGTGTTGTGAACTGTGGCTGACAAGAGCTGTCCTCTAGAGTCCAGTTTTTAGAGCGCCATGCTGGACAAACAAACTAGATCTGAGACTAGATGCTTCCCTCAGTGGACAGATGCGACTGCAGATGGAGGAACTGAAGACAATTTTGAACCCTTTATGGTTCTTGTTACCCCTATGCTAAGGGAGATGCTTTGCAAACTATAATATACGCTGAGTAGACAGTAATATATTAGGATGTAGGATATTGTGATTTTTCACTTCATGGAAATATGCATGAAGTTTTAAAGTAAAGATTCTAAAGTTCAAAGGTATTGGTGCTTTTGTTGGAGCCCCGGGCCCCTGAGCTGTGCATTTCAGACCCTGGGCTGTGGAAGTTCCTGGAGCAACCCCCTTGGTGGTGGGGAGACCCAGGAGGGAGGGGCCGGGCTGGGTGGAGCCAGCCCTGAGCTCCCAGTGTAGGTGGAGCTCTTTTCCTGTTCTGGAAGCAGCTGTTTTTGCTCATCCTATGGGGGTGAGTCGACTAAAATGATGGATGAAATGACGGAGAGATAGTACAAGGTTTTTATTTCCCATCTTGGTGACAAAACTGCAATTTTTACACTTAAAATGAACTGATAGGGCTCTGACTTCCACTTCACGTTTTATGTAGATGGTAAGTACTTTTGAAAGCTAGATCGCTCCTCTGACAGTTATCAAACTTGCTTTTTGGTAGAATTGGGATGCTTCATTTATATACACAATGCCACCTTTTTGCTGGAATCCACTATTAGCTGAGGGAAAGACCCAATTCCAGAGACAGAATGGGACAAGAAGAATTGGAATCGGAGCAAGAGGGGAAAGGAACAGGGAAGCTAAAATCAGAGGAAAGATGTGAATTTGGGGTTTTTGGAAACATTTGGTTTTCAGACTGAGGGATGAAAATTTTGTTCTTTCTAATCAAAGAGATACTGCAGTCTCTTTACAGAATAGCCCACAGTGACTGGAAAAATCCTATGTTATCTGGAGCTTTCTATTAAAGGCACATACATTGGTGCTTTTAACTAGTGGACCAGATGGTCATCTCATGTTCTCTAGACTTCCAGCTTCCTTTTTTGAAGCTGAGCAATGATTTAAAAAAAAAAAATTCCCATATAGTTAACGTACAGGGTTATATTAGTTTCAGGTGTACAATATAGTGATTCAACAATTCTATATAAAGTGGAGTAACTTTTCATCTATTTGCAATCTAGGAAAGTGTCTGTGGTTATTACTAGGTATAGTTGTACCTATGATGAACCATTTATACTATGAAGTCACAGGGTAACATTATAGTTTGTAATGACATGAGAATATGCTTATGATATACACAAAAAGAATGACATTTGCATATACACATGTATTCTCAACTATGTAAAAATAAGTATATAACAAACCCACTGGAATAAAATATATAGAATGTTAACCATGATTGTTTAGAGGTCGTAAGGTTTTAGACGGCTATTTTCTACCTTAAAAAAATTTCCACAATGAATGCATGTTAATCTTATAATCAGGAAAAAGGGAAGCTCTGGGTCGGCAATCTGTCAATCCCTATCCAGTTGGGACTAGGTTATTTGTACTTGGCTCACAGGTATGTGCCTTTCCCCATGAATCCCATGTCATTTGGTAACTGAGATTTTCACATACTGCTATAGCCATTATCATCAAAGGGCTCATGCTCATGGATCAGCATAGAATTAGAGCTGGGGTTATTTGGAAAGCCAGCTCCCTTACTTGTATGTGCTCACAGTCAATACAAACATATTTTCATGAGCCATAATTACAGCAACATTTATAACCGAGTGGAAACGTTAGAAGGTACATGACCCAAGGCAATCGGGAACCTTATCTCTTTTGGACAATCTCAAATTCACATAATTTTATCTATTTTCAGTTCTATGTGTCGCTAGTTAAGGCTGGACTTTTTAGTTGTTGCAAGACTTTTGACATGAGAACTGTTACAAAGCAAGATAATTTGGGTGTTTCTTAGGTTGCATCCCAACAGCACACTGCAGATTAATAACTACTATGCAGGAAAGACTTTTGAATTCCAATAAATCTAAAGAATGTCAAATTAAAGTTAGCCAGCTGTCTTTATGGCAGGACTTGTGGGAGTCTTGCTATGCCATTATGTGTGCCTCTTCCAAAGGGGATTGAACATTCAGTGTTTCCCACACATATTTTACCAGAAAATTCTATTTTTGCTGAGCACATCGAGGGTCATGTTCTCTGGGTAGTCAGGAAATGCATCTCTAAGTAAGGGGTCCCCCTTGGTTTCTTTGCATGGACCAAGGGAGGAAAGATCCAAAGAGTTTCAGTCTGAGTCATGGAGCCTGGCTAAGGAAAACCACATGCTGTTTGTAGTTTATTATCTCTCGGTTGGTGTTTAATAAAGAAGATATGCTCAAAGCTACTAAAACACAACTCTGGTCTGATCAGTAAAGGAAACTCACCTCCCATGGTGTCCTCTCCAAATACATTTAACTGGTCATCACCCTGTACATAAAAAAAAAAATCAAAATATTAGATGACAGTAGTAATAGGTAGTATGCTAAATTTCTTGCGAACATGCGTTAACATACCTAACCTTCCAAACAACTCTATGAAGGATGCACTATTACTATCTGCCTTTTATAGATGAAGAAATTGAGAGTTTGAGAAGCAAGTTGCCCACGATCACATAGCAATGAGGGACAAAGCCCAGACCGAACCCCGAGTTCATGCTGTTCTTCTTGTACTGCTCAGTATAGTGTCACACCTCATTTTCCTGGTGCATGACTTATCTGTGATCAGAAAAGCTGATTTGAAGAAGAGAACACTCTTCAGTACCCAAAGCTCACTGGTGGGTGTAGTCATGGTGGTTTTACAAACAACTCTGTGGTATAACATTGGACGTGGCACGTTTTCTGTGGAGTGCCAGATAGGAAGTGTTTTCCAGCATTGTAAGTCATACAGTTAACCACTGGCCAATCCTGAAAACTGAAGCATGAAATAAGGGAAATTGGAAGGACCAGCTTTGATTGATGCCTGCTTTTAAATTACTTTATTTTTTAACCAAGCAGCAGCTGCATTTTCCTTACAGAAGAACCTGTTGTAGTTGGGGAAAAAATGTAGGATGAAAACTTATAAAAAGACATTTGATAAGAATTCTGATTTTTACTTATGTCTCCATCTTTTTTTTTAATTTATTTTTAAATTTTTTTTTCCATCTTTTTCAGATACACAAAAAACAACTTCCAGATACCTATGGATGCATTTGAATATAATTATAACATCTTGGGGCACCTGGGTAGCTCAGTGGGTTGAGCCTCTGCTTTCGGCTCAGGTCATGATCTCAGGGTCCTGGGATCAAGCCCCGAGTCAGGTTCTCTGCTCAGCGGGGAGCCTGCTTCCCCCTGCCCCCCCGGCCTGCCTCTCTGCCTACTTATGATCTCTCTCTCAGACATAACTAAACAAGATCTAAAAAAAAAAAAAATTATATCCTCTTGTGACCTCCATTTCGTACACAGAAAGGAGTGAACTTCTATTACACATTGCATATATGTTCATAATATACATACTGATCTAGAATGATACGGTTCTTCTTGCTTTTTCACTTATCGATGTACCGGGAGAACTTTCCATGCCCATCCAGAATATTCTTGGTCGTACAGTGTTCTGTGGTATGGAAGCTACCACAGTTGTTTTTAACTCGTCCTTTATTGATGGACCACCGAGTAGTTTCCAATCTTGGATTATTTTGGAAAAAGTAGCCCAGCGAGTAAGCTCATGTAAAGGTCATTTCATACACATATGCCTGCTGGGTAAATTCCCAGAGAAGGGGCTGTGTGGTCAAAGAGCAAATGTACTTATAACTGATAGATTTTGCCCAACTGCTCTTCATAGAGGTGGTGCCATTTTGCGGGGACGGCCTGCGGCTCACACTTCACTCCAGCCTCTTGCTTCTAATTCGCTTTGATGTGGGAGTCAGTTAAATGAGGTTGCCTGGATGCATTAATGCTCCCTTGAGGTAACCGCTCTGAGAGTACTTGTTTGCAAACGGAGCCATGCCAGCCTTTTTTAGAACATACGCCTTCAGGGCAACTTTACTGCTTGTCTTCTTAGATTTGCCTGTGTATCCAGAGCGATTCCAGGTGAGAGAAGAGTTTTTAATGGAGTGGTCATTCAGGGACACATTTACATTAATTAGCTTCCTTCCATGAATAGGGAAAATGTCAATTATTCCTCAGTGAGCCTACCCCCACTTGTTGAAATAATTGCATTTCGGAGCTGGGAGTTATATAGATCATCTGACCCAACCCTGCCATCCCCTCTCCCATTGTACAGATGAGGAAACTGATGGTTACAGAGGTCATGTAAGGGGCCCATGACCATAGCAGCATGTCTTTTTTTTTTTAAATAAAGATTTTATTTATTTGACAGAGACAGTGAGAGAGGGAACACAGGCAGGGGGAGTGGGAGAGGGAGAAGCAAGCTTCCCGCTGAGCAGGGAGCCCAATGCAGGGCTCAATCCCAGGATCCTGGGACCATGACCTGAGCCGAAGACTGATGCTTAACAACTGAGCCACCCAGGCAACCCTGCAGCATGTCTTTAGTGAAGCCAGGGTTAGGATGAGAACCACATCACTTACTACACAGCACGGCTCCTGAAGATTTAGTCCCATCAGCTTAGCTACCGCCATGAATCTCTTAGTGTCCTGTTCTGAAGTGGCAAGTGCACCCATCCCTCAGGTGTTGCTAAGGGCTCACAGAAGTCCGGCCCCGCCCTCAGCCGGGGATGACTCCGGTATAAGGTTCCCTGGAGATCAGGCTGAAGCTAATCCCATCCTTGCTCAGCTCCTGCCCCTGCCCTCTCCTGCATCTCTCTCCCTCTCTGAAGAACACTCCCTAATAACTTACTTTTAAAGAATCCTTATTTCAGGTTTTGCTTCTAGGGAAGCCCACCTGAGACAGAGACCTGTTCAAAGCAGTTTGATGTTTGCCTAAGATGCACCTACGTAGAAAGTGGCTCAGTAGCCTCTGCTGGCAAAGAATTGTTAGATCAAGCTCTGCTTGTTGTCTGTCAAACAGCTATCAAACATATCCAGGTCAAGTGAGGGAGTCCTCCCCCTCGATTTTTAATATCATTGTTGAATAATCAGACTTTCACTCATCTTACAGGCTAACCTGCCTCAGATCTTTCTTCCACCTAGCTGTCATGTTTTAGGAGACTGATCAAGGTTCATCTGTCTCATAAAACCATGCACCGTGTTATAAAGGGGCCTGTCTCACCTCTGTTTGGCTTCCTGTGTCTGACCTGTTTTTAATCCATTGCTCTTTTTCATAGCCTTCTAATCTGTTTGCCCAAACGCTTCAAATGAGCCCCAGCTTTATTTCCATGCACACGGCATTCACGGTCATGAAAGCCCAGGTAAATGGACTGTTTGATTGGAGGGTGTTATTTTCACGTGATGCTCTATAAATCTCATGATTCCTATGTGAATCTTTTGTAAATAAACTCAGTCTGGCATTTTAAACAGGTGCGTGCGTGTGTGTGCGCAAGTGCACGCGCACGCGCGCGCACACACACACACACACACACACACACAAAACAACTAATGAAAGGCCAGCTCTTCTGGTTCTCTTTTGGTGAAGAGGAAGCCATCCAGAGTCTGAAGGCCCTATGTGTCGTCTCTTTCTTTCCTAGTCCAAGTGTGTTCTGCATGAAAGGCATTCATTCAGAACGTCAATTCTGTAAGGAGCAAAATGCTCTACAAGCTTATGTGAGAGATACCTGATAAGGCATTTCTGAGCAGGGAGCTGGGAGCTGCCTCTTCAGTGAGGCACCCCTTGAGAAAGCACAGCCCATGAACTCCCAGGCTCCAGCCTGAGGGCCCATGGGTGCATCGTCGGGTCACACACTGCCTTTCATCTCGTTGTCCTCCATCTAGTCGGCCTTCTGTTGCCTGTAAACCTGAATGGTGAGGTTGGGCTTTGTGGGTGCCAGGAGACAGAGGTGCTCTCCACTGTATTAAACTAGGTTTAGGGGGCAAAACGCAGAATACCAAGTTGGAACCAACTGACAGAAATAGTACTAATATTGGCTCAGATTTCATGTAAGTGTCCATTATGACTCACACATATGGAGCCAAGACACAGCCTTACAATGATGTGATAAATGCTGGCAAAGATAGGAAATGCTGCAGCCAAACCACCAACACACAAAACCAAGTTCAGGTCTCCACCCCTCCTTGTGCTATATTTATGAGAGCACACTGGTACCTGAGGAGGAGAAATCAAGAATCCTGTTGAAGTGTCACAGCTAGAACCTCAGGACAGGATTCATGGTTTCACGGGAAACTGGTTTGGGCTATGGATTTTTTTTGGTTTAGATGTCTCATTCTCCAGCCAAACAAGAGCCATGAGGAAAGCAAAAGCAGGTTGCATCCAACTTTATTTGCCTGTGCAGATGTGTAGGCAGGGAACTTTGCAAGGCTAGGTTCTGGTATGGTCGGCAGGAAGAGCAGCTAGCTGGCGTGTGCATGTGTTTCCCCATCCTGTCAGCGCACCTGTCATCACCACCTTGTGGTATGGACGTCCGTCACTCCCAATTCTTTGAATTATTGAAGTTTGGGGGGCGAGATCAAAATAGGGCAACATTGTCTCCCAGATGGGTTCCTCAATCCTAAGAAAGGACATCCTGCAGCTTGCACTGACCGCAGTACAGTGTGTGCTCCTGGTTGCTGGACCAGTTTAGTGTGGCATTGTCACAAGCAGATCAGGTTACAGCATGAAGTGGACATTGAACTAGTGCCTTCCAGATCTGGAAGTGTTTCTGCGGATAGAAGCTCACTGGATCCTTGCTGCGACCCTGTGCCTGAGGAATGGCATAACTGCAGTTCTGTGGGCCGTGGGATGGGTGTGCCTGAGCCCCCCCTTGCCGCCCTCTGGGCCCTGACACCAACCGGTGTTTCCTTGGATAGAAGCTCACTGGATCCTCGCTGCGACCCTGTGCCTGAGGAATGGCGTAACTGCAGTTCTGTGGGCCGTGGGATGGGTGTGCCTGAGCCCCCCCTTGCCGCCCTCTGGGCCCTGACACCAACCGGTGTTTCCTTCTCAGCATCCTCTCACTGGTCTCAGAGGTGAGGTCAGGTCGTCAGATATTCTTACCGTCTGTCCTTAGGTAGATAGCGTTGATGTTTAAAAATCCTTGGTGGGGGGTGGCGCCTGGGTGCCTCAGTAAGTTAAGCATCTTACTTCGGCTTGGGTCATGGTCTTTGGGACCTGGGTTTGAGCCCTGCATTGGGATCCCTGTGCAGTGCAAGTCTGCTTTTCCCTTTGCCTCCCCTGCCTTCCCCACCCCCCCGCTTCATTCATGGGTGAGCTCTCTCTTTCTCTCTCTCTCTCAAATAAATAAAATCTTTAAAGAAAATCCTTTTGGGGACCATGAAATGAAAGCTCCCCTGGGAAGGAGGGAGAAGTAGTAGGTCATTTTGGGGGTGTCCTCCCAGTTCTTG